ATATATATGTGCTCCGACGATCTGAGCGTTAGCTTATTCAATGAGTGTTTGTTGAAAAGACAATACCGGGTACATAAAATATTTTTTATTAAAGTCACGTATAATTTGAGATTCAAAGTATGTTTAATTTAAACACCCGAAATATGTAGGCCTACATAAACATTTCAATAATCAAACAAACAAAAAATGAATAGGCATAGTGATTAATTTTTTAGTAACGTGTCAGTAAAAAGTATTTACGTTACTGTACTTAACTGACTACGTGCGTGTTTGATGCTAACTGATAACTGCAGTTTCAGTCACTACATGACCGTTTTTATATTTTTAATAAAACCATTTTTTTTTCTAATTTTAAATACATTTTCCCCTGAATTCGTGATAATTCGTTATCACGCATAAGACTAAATGCTAAATGCGTGACAAATTTATGATCACGCACGTGTTTGTACAAAATGCGTGCTTCATCCAATACTTTGAAATGCGGGACCGCACGATACGAGACGGTTGGTAACTATGCTGACCGATAACATACACATAATAGGCCTATGTATACAGGCAATACACATACTCAAATAATCAATTATAGTCCAAATTCAGATGAGTAGAAAGCGTATTTGCTTATTGCAGATACCATGAGTAACATGCAAGGAAATTCGGTGGGCCTTGACAGCAGGGTACAAATTCCTGTCGGAAATTTTCATGGTCAGTGCAAGCATGGAGGTATGGTGTAAGTATACAGTAGATTGTTAGAGTACGTTTTACATTAGATGATTGTGTTGTTTTTTTGGTTTTTTTTTTAATAAAAGATGTGCCTTTTTTAAATAGAGGAATAGGGAAGAAGCGAGGAAAGATCAGCAATCGTAAATTACTGGAATTGTTAAGCCCAGGTAAAATAACGTTTGTTTTAAGTAAAAACATTCGGAAAATCGATTTCTATCGACGATAAACATAAATTAAGAGTATAAACCATACATAAATAAGAGGATGTGAAATCAATTAATTACATTCTTCATTTACATCCACAACCCTCCCTGTAGAAGTAAACAAGGAGTTTGGCTAACTCCTCACACAGGTATTACTTGTAACACATGATTTGCAACAAAATGACATTGTCTATTTGTGTATATCATATCGTCTCTTACGGCGATAAATGCGGGTCTAAATTGAGTGACCATAGTGGTCAGCATAATCATAACACAGAATAATTAATAATCATTGCATTGATAAAATCGCACCTTAATGACATCATCACAATTATAATATTTATGTACAAATGTACTTTAAAATCAGCCAGAAATGGTAAACGTTAATTTGCCATATTCCCACGGCTTACACGACAAATTAGTGCTTATAATAACACAGCGTACGAATTTGTGTAGTACGGTACGATATTCGTATATTAGGTCTACACGACTATATCTTTGGTTCCAAACGAAAGTGTTGATGCAAAAAACGGATTAGGTTATACCAATTCAGGTAAGGATACATCAACTTGTAGAGTATGCTATGTCGACGGCAATTTTACAAGGCAGAAACCTTGGATTTCAGACATGAAAAAGACAATACCTATACTCCCATGAACTTTAAAAGTATAATTCACTGCGTTCATTGAATAACCAAAATTTACGGGCTATTAGTATTATTAACAAAGCAATTTATTCAATGATATGCGTATACACATTTTGTTTGCTAACAAAGATTTTTAAAAAGGGCAACTTACAATCAATCTATGATAGATCCGAATATAGAGAGCTTTCTTTTTTGATCGACACTCGAAGTGAAACTCTGGAGCAACGACTGATCTCACAAGGCGCACCAATCAGCTATTTAAGCACTGGGGCTACCGTCATTAAGTTTATGGCCAGCGAATCTTTATCAGAGTTTCCGAAAACAGGGGTGAGATGCTCCGCATGAAATGTAGCTTTTAACTCAGCAGTTCCTACGATGTTCCGGATTTGTAGCCCAAATTAGCATCGATTGCACAAATGACAATAATTAGAACTTTATACAGATTTATTACTGACAATTTCTAACGCTGAAATAGGATTACAATAAAAATTAGCTTATTATTCTTAATCTACAGGTGTTGGGGTGCCAATCAAGTAAATAGAGGCGCGGCTTTCATCACGCAGCGTTCCCATTGGTTAATTAGAAACTACTCAAGCGTGTAAAAGTGGAGCTGTGGAGATAAACGAGTTGTGAGAGTGAAGATTCATCCTGACGTCATCAATAGAAGTTTTATATCGCTGACATCCATTGAGCAGGGAGTTTGAACTCTTTATGAACATGGTTAGAACTATGGACCGAATGTTACAAGTTAACGACACCTTAATAGCCACACTACTATTGGGCCCACACGGGTCGAATATAAGTATGTATTTGCGATCAATCATTATATTGTCAGGTTCATTACCTTGATTGGAAATGCACATAACAACTCAATTTCAGACCTGTCAGTGTAAACGTACGAGAGCCTGGTGTGGTCCAGAGCATGACCAGGCCCGTAGCATGACTTAATTTGTGGGAGGTTCGGTTCAATGGAAAGTGGACCCTTATCTTCGATACTCAGGGGAACATTGTAAATAATATCTACGAATATCAATTTTTCGTTTTTAAATGCGGACCTTCTCCACTTTTTGGGAGGTTCTTTGTAACCCCTTTAACCCCCACCCACATCGCGATAAATTGCATTTGTACTCGCTCACCTTGGTAATCTAAATAACTTAAAGGGGGACGATCAATTATAGAGCTGAAACATTCTAGTATTAACGGTCATTTTAGCCTATTTCATGAAAAGAGTCGGGAGTAGTGGTTTGGTTTATCAGAGACGAGGTTCACACGAAAAAAAAAGTATATGTCGAAACAGATACCTATCCCTATGGTCAATTATTGCGGTACGATTAGAGAGGAAGGTATTGAGCAAAACTTATGTTTTTAGTAATGCAGATTATATTATTTATTAAATTGGATCATCAATATAGCAGATACAAAGTCCGCCTGTAAACAAAAACGATGCCATATGAAATATAGCACACAATGTATCTTGTGAAAAACAATCATGGCTTTAATTTTGATCAAACTACAGTAGTTATATTTTGCCATTTATATTATAATTAAATACGGTATAATATATATATATATATATATATATATATATATATATAGTATATATATATGTATATATAGGACGTATTCGTTATCGTTTTCTTAAGGTTGCATAATCTCCCTATTAGGGAGTTTTTGCAAGTTTTCGAAAACGGTAACAAAATACGGTTACGTCACCAAATTTTAGACAATCCTTCCCCTGCAGTAGCATATCTGTCACAACGTAGTCGATTCATGCCTTTTGTATTAATCAAGGATCATATGCAGCACATACAGCATATTGTCAAGAATGTTTTAGGCACGAATGACGATAATGATAATGACGTATTCGTATTCGTTATCGTTTTCGTAAGGTCGCGAAATCTCCCTAATGTTTTATGGGGTGGGGCCTTAGCGGAAAAGTTCGTTGCTGTCTGTTTATTCAGTCACTACAGTCACTATTGTATCGTGCGTAGTCCTATACTGCCACCTATAGTCGTATAGTGACATGTGTCAATCAAACTCAAAGATATATTGTCCCATTCTAAATACCTAAAAAAAAAAATTTTTTTTAATTAACTTGCCCATTTTAAAGTAGCATAAAAGTTATTAACTTGAACATAGAAATTAGTGTATTTAAAAAATGTCTACCCATCAGTTTACAGCGAAAAATGATAGAAACACTTCAAGTCACTGGAAGTGTCTTATTATTTTTATTATCTTTTTTGTTAGCTTAAAATTCAGGGTACACATTTTTTTTAATTAAATAATGTTTATGCAAAGTTAATAATTTGTATGCTATTGTAATATGAGCAAGTTTATTTCAAAATTATTTTTTATGATTTTTTGAGATTAGCAAGAGACAATACATCTTTAAAGACTGATCAATCAACAAGACTAATAATACAAGTTTGTTACACGATGAACACATATGTTGTCCTACAAACGCACTCACGTACGTTTACGCTATCGTTTTTTGGGACATAACTGGGTGGGGCTTCTTAGCTAAAAGGCCCATTGTATTGCTTGGGTGTGCAAGTTTTTTTTTCTGAAGTTTGCTAAGTGACTTCACGACTCCACTTTTATGTCATCAATTGCGAATATTGTTTTGTTTAGTTGCTGCGTAATAATATTTACAATGACAGATAGCCTAATATTAATAATAATAATAATAATAATAATAGGGTCTAATAATAATAATAATAGGGCCTAATAATAATAATAAATAAAATAATAAATGATAATAAATATCAACGATAATAATTATAATAATTATAAAAATGTTATTAATAAATTACTCAATCAATAAATCAATCAATTAATTATGTATTTATGTAATGCTTTTCCCACTAAAAACATAATGTAATACAAAATAGGCGTTGGTATACTTAAGATATGTGATAACTAAATACCATGTTTAAATTTAGCTGAAATGAGTTTAAACCATTATATCAAAGTATAACTACAATATGCAAATTGAGACAACACATTTATATAGATATTTCAAAAGGTGTTTTCGTCAGGAAACATACAGAATATATATGATAACACGTCCGGTTGGACAAAACATATGATATTGTATAGTGCAAATTTTATATAAATAAGTTCGATATTGTTTTTTTTGTGTTTGTGTTTGTGTTTTGTTTTTTTAATCTGACTTGTACATTGGTATTATGTGAGTCTGCGCACGTGCAAACAGGAATAATTATATAAATATAATAAACATAAGAGCATAAATTATTTTTGTTAAGGAAAAGTTAAATTTAGGATTTTAGGCCCAAATTTCATGAAATGTAGAATCAAATGCAGAAGTGGTGAAAACGGCAGCTTGAGTACTAGTTCTACTGAATTTACAATAGACCTCTTCACGGGCAGATGTTTCTTTGAGAGTCTGGCGAGCTTCTTTGTGGGAAGCTTCTTTGTGACAACCACCACCGTCAATTGGTTCACTGACATCATCTCTATCATTGAGTTGTTGGAGTTCATCTTCATATGATTTCCTTGGAAAACGTTTCATTGTCTTAACAATGACTGTTACTACTGAAGATTCCAGAAGCGTCATTAAAGCGACCAGAAATGGAAGACGTCTTATCAGGTCGGCTTCGGGGTTAGGGTACGACATGTAGATGACAGTGGTGACGAGAAAGCTATTCTGGGCGCCAGTTTCGAAAGCAACTGTTAGAGCAGACTTGTTGCAGAGGCAAGTTAATTTACTAAACAGTAGACCAAGTATTCCGCCAACAAATAGAAAATCAGAGCAGACAGAAAAACGTCATTTGGAGAAAAAAATGTACATATTCGCGGCAATTTCAACGACGGCAGCTGCTGTGATCATCATTCCAATGACAAACGGTTTCACCAATATGTTTAGCATTATGACTTAGAAGATTTATCAGTATCTTACTAATAATTATTATTTTATTGTTATTGTCATAATTATCGCCGTGTTCATCGCCATCATCATGGTAATCGACATTGTCACTTTCATCATCTTTATGATCATCAACATCATCATCATTATCATCAGTATCACCTTTATCATTATCATTATCATCATCAGCACCACCATCATCATAATCATTATCATCACCCTTATCATAATCATGTTTGTGCTGTTATGTTTGTGATATATAGTATTATAAAGAGGGAAGAAGGAGGAGAGGGAGGGGAGAGAGAGTGTTAATCCAGTCACCGACCGAGTTAGATTTTCTCGCAATTCACATTGGCGGATCTGGAAGATCAGGGATCCTGACCCCCCTCCCTTCGGCAAAAAAGAAAAAAAATAATAAAAAGAATTCTAGACCCACATTTCGGGACCCGTGAGCTGATTTATTTATTTATTTATTTTTTGTAACAATAAGAGAATTCAATTCAATCTTAATTAATGTGTTTTTTATATGCCTTTTGTATTTCTGTTATTTTTATCATTTTAATTTTTTTTATTTGTCTGGTGCTGTGCATTTTATCCATTGTTTTTTTTTATGTTTGTGTTGTGAATTTCTGGAATTTTGGTGTTCTGTTTTTAAATTTTTAAGCAATTATTGTAATACACTTATATAAACTCTTTTATTGGCTGTCTGTTTGCAATTTTTAATTCATATTTTTATCTGAATAAATAATAAAGACCTTGAACACAAAATTAGAAGTCGGGAAAGCTCATTTCTCGGAATCTAGGAATCAATATTTTCTCGGAGGAGGACTCCCGAACCCATTTTATTTTTGGGGTTCATTGATTCATGGAAAAAGAATACATGTGCAAAGTGTATACCAGTACACACATAATAGGCCTATTTACTGTAATAAGAATGAAAAGAAATCAACATTTTCCCGGGGAGAACCCGAACCCGGCTTTCTCTTTGGAGTTCATTGATTCATGGAATCGTTTTCAAAAGGGGGAAACCTTGAATTTTTAAGAACTTAAAAGTCATTAAAAAGAGAAGTCAGGAAAGCTCATTTCCCGCCATCTAGGAATCAAAATTTTCCAGGGGATAGCCCCCGGACCCCCTTTCTTTTTGGACTTATCGATTGATGGAAAAAGAATACGTATGCAACTACTTTATTTTGTGTATGTATTGGATTGGATTGGATTTATTCGGTGTAAACACCAAAGATAGACCACGAAAGTCTAGAAGAAGACTTGTTTCCAGTGGGGTCCTTCTGGTGGTGATTGGACAGTACACCGGGAGACAATCCCCTACTCTTTTCCAAAAACAATTTCAGCCTTCAACCTATCATTTTGGCAAGAACTATAGACTGAATATGGCCCTTTTCCAATTTCAAGATCTAATAATACGAAAACGCAACTTAGTAAAGAGTTTTTTTGTGGGTTTTTTTGTCAAATCATCAACATATAAAAGATATTCTGTACATGGTATACAACATTTGAATTGGACATAATATTTCATTCTTGATGAAGTCATATTTTTCTAAATTAAATTTCTGATTTTCTACATTTCAATATCGGTTAAACGTAAGCAAATTCAGAAGTAGTGTATATTTTTCTTCTTCACTCTGCGATAACCAAATATCACCAAAACCAATATGACATAATAAATCTTTGAGATCATGAACACAGCATATTTAATTTCTTTCAGTTTTCCTAAGTTGTGAATGAGGAAAACCGTCATAGTAAGTTAAGTCTTTATCAATACATTATATTGCTTTTCAACTAATTATTATTAAGGTAGCCTAGGCTTACAATTCAGTAAATTTGGAGTCAAATGCAGTATTGGTGAAGGAGCCGCCTGTTTGCGTAGGCTTACTGCTCTCACTGGTTTCATGATGGCTTCCTTCGCTGGCAGAGGTTTCTTCAAGAGTCTGAGAATCTTTGCGGCAATCTGTGCCATTGTTTTTATCAACTTTGACACTGATGTCCTCTGCATCTTCGGTTTCATCTTCGTATGGTCTCCCTGGAAAACGCTTCATAATCTTAACAATGATTGTTATAATTGAAGATTCAAAAATCGTCATCATAGCGACCAGAAATGGAAGACGTCTTATCAGGTCGGCTTCAGGGTTTGGGTACGACATGTAGATGACAGTGGTGGCGAGTAAACTATTTTGAGCGCCAGTTTCGAAAGCTACTGTCAGAGCAGACTTGTTGCAGAGGCAAGCTAATTTACTAAACAGTAGACCAAGTATCCCGCCTACAAATGGAAAAACCATTGCAGACATGAAAACGTCAGTTGGAGAAAAGAGAACGTAAATATTGGCAGGAACTCCAACAACCGCAGATGTGATCACCATCCCGATGACAAACGGTTTCACCAATATTTTGAGTATCCTTGCGACTTTCGGCCACTTGTAAAGGATAACCATACCGGCCAAAACAGGCACAATAAGAATGACGAGTTGGAGAATAATTTGAAGGAATGGCGTTTTCAGAGCTTCATTTCCGTTGATGAACTCGGCTGAGTATATGTAAGCATTAAGAGGCATAAAGCCTAACGCCAGAACAGTCGAACAGAATGTCATTGTCAGACTCAGAACAAGGTCTAAATCCAGTAGCAGGCTGAAAACGTTACTCACCCAGCCACCGGGACTGGAACCAACGGTTATCAACCCGATAGCAGCCGTGTCGTCAAGCTGGAGAAGTTTGGCAATTGAATAGGCCAAAAGAGGCATTATTATAAATTGGCAGAGGACCCCGATGAGAATAGCCCAAGGTCGACGCAACCTCCTTCTTATTACCTTCCAGTCCATCTTCACACCCATGGCAGTATAAGACAGAATCAGCCAGACTTGTAGTGTGTACCGGTATATAGTGTCAATTATTGAAGGTTTTCTGTTAACCTTCACAGTGTATGGTAGTATCTCATACCCTTCCAGAACACGCCCAGCGTTGTCTCTTGCAGTAAATAATATATCTGCAATACCGAGTTTAACTCCAGTGACAGAGATCAGAAACGAGTAGCCAGTTGCATTATGTCCAAATTCGTAAGGAATCTTGAAGGAGATCACTTCGCTTGAGTTAGTTGTGAATATATCAGGTGAAGAACTCCGCACCTCTATCCACATGTTTACATCAACGTCAGTTAGCGTCATCTCCAGATATTCTGTCTCCTCCTCTACTACAATTATAGCATCTTTTGGCTCAAATGATGCAGCAAACTCTCCTCTTGTTGAGACCACTTCAAGGACGACAATGATCAAGACGAGTGTGGTTTTCATATTCGCCGATGATAAGCAACCATTAGAGCATGGACGTTGGAGTCGGATGCTGAAGAAAAAAAACAAATAGTATTATTTGCAAATACGAATGAAATGTTTCATTTTATTGACATTATTCCAATCAAAACAAATTCATAGGTTCAGATCCATAAGGATAAAGCAAACGATGCTGTAATGTCTATTAATTATTAAGGACTTATTATTTCGCTATTTCATTATGTTTACTTTTTGTTCACTGTATTGTCTGTATTATGTAAAGGGAAAACAACCAAAAAAACTTTTAACAATATTTCTGAATTGAGTATGAAAATCGGATCAATGATGTATTCACATGCGAACCGAAAATTCGGACCGCGTTTTCGATGCTCTGAGCGAACCGTTCCTATGGCTACATACCATTTCGAGTTTCTGATCAGTTCGGAGGCTTTCCGATCCAAAAAATTCGAATTCGGTGTGAATAATGCAGCTAAATAATAGGGACGCTGGCGTTCAGCGCATCAGAAACGCTGTCCAAATTTTGGCTCGGATGCGATGTAAATGCAGCTTTACGGCAATGTGGTAACATACTAGGCCTATATGAATCACCATACTGTAATACATAATTATTTTACTATGAATATATAATAGTGAATAGTTTTCATATTAACAAGTACTTCAATTTCATGTTAACCTTTGCTACCACCAGTTTTCGCCAACTAAACTAAACAATATTGAACCTCAATAGACAGTCTAGTTG